TATATATATATATATATATATAAATACTATGTTAAATATATAAATTATATTTAAAGTCTTTATAAATAATAATTTTAAACATAAAAATTATATTTTAGATTTATAATTAATAATTTATATTATAACATAAAATTATTTTTATTTATTGATAATTTATTTTAAAATATTAATATTTAATTCATAAATAATTATAATAAATAAAAATTGAATTAGATAGAATGAAATTTAAAAAAGTTCTTACAAACCCTTCAGCAATAAAATCTTCTAAAAATAGTTTTACACAAGATAATAGTATGTATTTAATATATAAGGATTGATTTGACTATTTTTATAATAATATAACTAAAACATAATATTTAATATCAACTTAGATTTAAGATAATAAATAAATAAAAATAAATTTCTTTAAAAGGGACAAATAAAAAAAGAAAGGAAATTTACATACCAAAAAAATTATTTAAAATTATTAATTAAGTTAAAACAATTACACGTGAATTGATCTATGTATCTAATATATAATTATTGTCTAAATTTTTATATCACAATGTTATAATTATGAAGTACTCCCTACTAACTTTGCTAATTATTAATGATCTGAACGAGACAAACAAAATAAACTTGGAGTGAATTTTACTTTACACTAATTTTTCTGATCATGCACATTTTATATATTTTCCTTTAATCACAAATCATCAAAAATATTTTTGAACCGATCGATTTTACTGCACGGCAGATTAAACTCCCTAAATCACTTATTTGAGCTATTTCACTGTCCAAAGTAAGAGTGATATTTAAAATTAATTAGCGTATACATTTCAATAATAATTCACAATACAACTAATGAACTAATCCCATCCAACTTTAAAACTACGAACCTTTAGAAGCAGGTCTCTACGTTTTTACATCATCTCCTTATTCTAACAGCATTATGAAAAATTGTTCATAATTTTTTTTCTGAAAAGTGAAAACCCTTCAAATCATTTTTGTTATCCCAGGAGAAAGAGAGGTAAAAATTGAATAGAGTAGAAAAGATGAAAGAGTGGAAAAAGTGATGAGATGAATAATTCTATTTGATACAAGAATCTGTGGTGTCCTCCAAAAAAAGCAACTATGGTAAACTAGAATTAATTAAGTGGTTTGCCAAGCCATTGTGTAGCCACGGGGTGTGACAGAGCCGAACCAAGCCCGGGTCAACGATTTCAACCTCTGGTCCCTAACCTCGCAGAATCTACGCCTCCAATCCTTAGGCTCGATAGGCTGGAAACCCAAACCTGGCGTCCGATCCTTAGACTCGGGGTTCACAGCCTGAGTCCAATCCACAACGTAAGCAGACACCCTCCTTCGGAACTTGGTCTTGAACTCATCCCAAGCCTGGTACTTGTAATGATTCACCAACCCCTCTTCTACGCTTATCTGCTTCGACCCGAACCCCCTCCCCTCGTTAACCCTGAAATGATGTATAACGTTCCACAAAGTGGGGTCCACCGCCTCCACCAACACCACCGACTTGTGCCTCTGCTCCCCCCTCCGCCGACACGTGTACCCCTGCGTCACACCCTCCGCCGGGTGCCGCCGCTGCCCCGACGGCCCGAACTCCAGACACCGCATCGACACCTGCCCCACCTTATTGCCACTCTTTCTCTGCGCCTCCCCCCGCAGCAACGACTTCAACGAGGGAACCACGCTTTTGGCTTTGCTTCCCCACGAGGGTGAAAACGCGAACTCGTCAACGTCCACGTACATTATCCACCTGCACAACCCCTTCGATTCAGAGTACACCACACTGTGCGAGAATCCAGCTTCTTGCGTCTTCGCCCATATCCAAAACACCGTGCTAATGTTGTAACCCTCCGAACGAAGCTCCTCCACCACGCTATAAAAATCATCATCACTCCCGTTGTCGTACAATATAAAATTTTCCACTCCCACTTTTGCATGATACATAACCCATTCCCGTAACACTTTCGCCACGTTGTAAACCATCGTGCATGCGCATAGGAAATGTTTGGGCCGGGCTTTCTCAATGTCTCCATGCATGGATATAGCACTGGGCTTGGGCTTGGGCTTGGGCTTGGGCTTGGGAATGTAATAAGCCACCGAGGGAACGATTATTTTGTCTGAAACAATCTCAAGGGTGATTCCGATTGTTTGGGGAAGGTCATCGAAAGAATCTAAATTAGGGTGGGGGCATCGGAAAACTTCTTGGACGGAGCTTGTGACCGCGTTACGGATTTTTTTTCCTCCGAGGTCGAATACACAACGGAGTTCGTTCGGGGAACGGGGGTTTCCTTGGCGGTGGTTGACTCCTTTGGCGAAAACGACGACGTCGTTTTCGGTCGAGAAGGATTCGTAGACGAGGAAGTTCCACCTCGGGAGTGGCGGCGCCGGCGCGGCGAGCTCTCCCTCTGAGGCTCCCGTCACGAGCGTGGGCTGAGAGAACATGCGGCGGTGGCGGACGGACTCCGGCATGTCGCACTTGAACGTTGTGCGGTTGGTGAAGGGCAAGACGCCGGCGAATTTGGCCGGAGACTTGGCATTGTTGGGGAAGAGGCAGTGGTGGTGGGAGGATGATAAGGGCGTGTTTGGCGCGACGATGACGAGAATCTCCCAGTCCGGGATGAGGACGGAGACGGTGGAGAGCGAGTCCTTGATGGAGGAGACGCGGCGTGTTTGGTGTGCGAGTTCGTGGATGACGATGTTGTGGGTGGTGTTGTTACGGAGGACGAGGTTTAAGTTTCTGAGGTCGGAGTCAGGGTGCCACGTGGAAATGGCATTGCGAGAGAGGTGAAGGGAGAAAGTGGTGAAGGTGAGAAGAGCGACGAACGAGACGAGGAAGGTGGTGCGAGGTCTCCGTCGCATTGCTTCCCCGATCGAAGAAGGAAACAACCACGACGAAGACGAAAGCGCATTGTTGGAGAATGTTGGCTTGTTAATATTTGTATCCGAGGGGAAGGGGTGGAAATTTTGTGGTGGGAAAATGAAAAGGAATTTGAGGTGGGTGATAAGTATCGGAGAATAGGAAGGGGAAGTGGAAGGTGAAGGTTGATCATTCTCTTTATTAAGAATCATATTCTACAAGGTGGTGGAAGAATGTTTGTTATAGATAGCGTAAGAGATTATATATAGAAACCGAAGAATATATATGCATGGAATGGGTTAGTGCTATTATTGGAGGGATGCATAAGACATTGAGAAAGTGAGAGAAAGAGACGAGTGAAGTAGACAAAAGGAGGGCAAGGTTTACGTGCTTCCAACATCTTTGGGTTTATTCTTGGATTGGGAGGGGTGTCAAATGTCTTTAGCTTCGGCACGACGCACTTCTTGCGGTGACACATGGAGGTCAAAAGGCCCAACCACAACGCTACTAGTAAACTTCAACTCAACTTCTTTCTTCGCCACGCGGACTTCTTGCTTCCTCCAACACGCATAAATGCTCTCTCCCAAGTTTCACCGTCTTATCTTATCAAATCGAAACATTTTGACGCTTATCTTAATTTTAATATTATTTAACAAAGTTGATTAATTTAAAAGAATTTTCAGTACATACGAATACATAAAATCAATAACTTACCCTAGTCTTGTCAATAAATTATTAATTCAAACGTATGAATGAGTTTTTTTTTTTAATAAGGAGTTATAGTTTTTTTTTTTTTTTTATCTAATCCATTTTTATAGTTTGGGTAAATTTCTATAACTAGTCACAACTGATCGAATTTTGATTTTTAGTTAAAGAGAACACAACCAACAATTTTTAGCACGAATATTAATAATTTTTTTAATAAGAATTATAACTGTTTTTTTGTCTTGTTCATTTTTATAAAAGTAAATTTGTACATCTAGTCACAATTGATCGAATTTTAATTATATGTTAAATCACTTAAACTAATAATTTTTAGTATATATGAATATGTATAAATAATATATATAAATTAATTTATATATGTATGTGTATGTATATGTATGTTAAAAGTTATACTATTTTTAATAAAAATTTAATTTCAAAATTTAAAAGTTTTATTATTATTTAAGACATTAAGGTTAATGTCACAAATATTAACTAACTTTTTCATATATATGTTTTGCCTTGCATTTATTATTTTTCAGTTATAGGGAAATTATCATTTTAACTAGTTATTGTGAATTTCTAAAAATTCTCTTTCTGCATTTAACATTTATAATCTCCATCAGTAAGTTTGAAAAATTGAATTTATAGAAAAGATCATAGTTTTTTAACTACGAATGAGAACTATATATTATGTTGACCTAGTGGGAGTAGTAAAGATAGTATACTAAAACTCCTTTTGTTTTGATAAATTATATATAAAAAATACTAAGTTTGAACCTCAGTAGAATCATTATATATAAAAAATAATAAGTTTGGTGACGAACTAAGTTTGCTAGCTTACTTGGGCCTATAAGCCTATTTATACGTCTTGTATAAAATAAACTATGAAAATAGTTTTTCAGACTAAACAAAATTTTAAACAAGTAAAATCAAACCTTTAAAAAATGTCTATAACGTGTAAATAAGATAAATTATACTCAAAATTTCTAAAGTCTATCCTATCCAGCCTGTTTTAACTCCCGTTAATGAATAATCAATATTTCATTCTTTTTTAAATATTACATTAATAATCAATATGTCATTATTTTAAGTGAAATTAAGTTCAAAATATTTGAACAAAATTTTAAATTCAAGTTTTATAAATAAAAAAATACATAATTTTTTAAGATTAAAGTACAGATAAATTTTAATTAAGTTAACTTTATTTATTATTTTAAATCTAAAAATGTATTTTTAAGTAATAAATGATAATATTATCTATAATAGATATAATTAAGACTTCCAAAAAAATAAGATATAATTAAGAATACTTTAAAAAATAGATATTATATATTTGATATGAAATCGTGAAATTAGAAAATATAGTGTATATTTGACGTTAAATAGTACAATTTTTAATGCATGCAATTTTTATTTATTTTTTAACTTATTTATGATTTTAGAGGAGCACCATTTTGTAACGTTCAATCGGGAAAGTATTAATTAATTTGTTCAATCGTATAATTAATCTAACAATTCATTCAATCTAATTACCTAATCGATTTTTCGAGGTATCGAGATGGTTGGTTGAGCCAATCTTCACAATATTATATTTTTAATAAGACTTTTATCTTTTACAAATAATAAAATTACGCGTTTTAATAATTATTTTACACACAATACTTGAAATGTAAAATTTTATGGCAGAAAAATCATTCATGTAGTAGCTCAACTACCCAGCTTTTGGCCTGGTTCCTAACAATTTTTCCTATTAAGTTGTAAAAAAGAAATAATTTTTCTTATTATTTTATCAAAATTAATCTTTTGTTCGTAGGAATTTTAATGATAACACAAAGGTTTTCAAACTTTTTTATATATTATCTCAATTTCACAACTAAGCATCAAAATTAATCTTTGGTACATAAGGTATTATTCTTTCTTTCAAATATTCCTTAAAATATTAAAAAAAATATATTAATAATTTATGAAGTATTAAAAATTTATTAATTTTTTGGTACACTCTTAAAAAATTTTCTGGCACCCTTATTAATTTAATCTCTATGTTAATATATTTAGCTAACATGGAAACATTAATTTGAATGACTTTTCCATATTTAAGAGACCAAGTAAGCATAATTTTAATATTCTAGAAATTTATAAATACTTTCATTAATTTAAAGAACTACTTAAGAGAAAGTAGAATATTTTAAGAATTAAATTAATATTTTTACTTACAAAAGTTGTTTAAGTATCATTGGATTTCTATAGTTCAATAAATGGTAGATTTATAAAACTATAAAATCTTAAAAATAATGTATATAGGAGCTAAAATAAGTTTTTCTGAATTATATAAATTAAAGATAAAATTTATAAAATTATAGAATATTTAAATAAAAATAAAAATAGAGAATAAAAAACTTTTGGCAACGGTTGGATGCAGATTGCAAAAGGAGCGGAAGCAGAAGGGCAAAAAGGTAAAAAGAGAGAGAAAGGCGATGATGGCTGGGACCGTAACGTTTATAAATGCGCATTAGAGCGAAAGTGAGGCATTGAGAGCGACTCGCAGCAATCACGCAGAGACATTAATGCAACCAAAGCGGAAATCCAATAACTCAATATTTAAATTAAATTAAATTAAATAAAACTCGTAAGAAAGAAAAGACACGACTCATACATTACATAGGCTCATAGCATAGCACAGTCAATACTTTATTTTACCTTATTTAAAATCCAACTAAGAAAAAAAAAATGCACAGAGCTATGGACTAATGTGAGTTGGTTCCCCTAAACTAGTTCCAGAAGAAGCGTGAACTAACAGAACAGACAAATGCAGATTGTTTCATACGCGTCTTAAATTTTATCTTCGAGGTTGCCTCTGCCAACCGCAATTTCCTTCATTTGAATTTTAAGCATAGCGAGTTCGTTATTAGGGGAAATCGGAAATGCATCGCCAACAGCAACACCAACAGCAACGTTCTCTCTTTCATTGATTTACTCGGATCTTATTTTCTTCCCGAAGATTGAGCGAAATTGAGGTTCTCTGTAGAGATGAGTTGCTTTTCGTGCTTTGATGTGAGGAGGGTTGAAATCGATAATGGCGCTCGATCTGCTACTGCTTCTGCTACTGCTAATGCTACCTCTTCAGGTTCGTTCCCGGACTCAGCTTTTTAGTTCTCAATTTCTTGTAGTGTGCTTTGTGTGATGATTGAATTTGATTTGAATTGCAGAGGGTGAAAGGAGGAGAGAATCCTCAGAGGGGAAGGGGAAGAGTGTGAGTAGTAGCAAAGGAAATACGGCAGCGGCTAGTTTTGGCTTTCGCGAACTCGCAGCGGCAACGAGGGGTTTCAAGGAAGTTAACTTAATCGGGGAAGGTGGTTTTGGTAGGGTTTACAAGGGTCGTCTTTCAACGGGGGAGGCAAGTTTTTATTTATTTATTTATTTATTTATATTTTATTCAGATCGCTCTCTGTTTTTCAAGTGTTGATTTCGGAATTGTTAGATTTTGGTCATTTGACTTGTTTCATTATAATGATGTATATAGTTTTTGAAATTGTTCACAGCTTGTTGCGGTGAAGCAATTGAGTCATGATGGGAGGCAAGGTTTTCAGGAATTTGTGACGGAGGTTCTTATGTTGAGCCTGCTGCATCATTCTAACCTTGTTAAGTTAATTGGTTACTGCACTGATGGGGATCAGAGGCTTTTGGTTTATGAGTACATGCCCATGGGTTCACTCGAAGATCATCTTTTTGGTAATCTTATATGACTGTTTCTTTCTCTCTACCTGTACTTAATTTGTGAATATAGTTACACACCTTAAAGCTTTGGTTGTCTGTACGTAGAGCATTAGCAACTAATTAGAACTTAAACTTCACATGTGGGTAAGTGTCTTCAATTTCTGAGTATCTCAGAATTTGTTAATCAAGATTCTATGCAATGCAGCTGTGCACATTGCACATCTTGTACTTGCTGAGAAAAAGTGGGTTCATTTGTGTTATCCTTGCACATCGCACATCTTGTACTTACCGAGAAAAATAGTCTTCGAAGAAAGACCCTCCGTGACTGAATATAAATTGATTATGGAACTGACTTGAGCTGGTTTATGGTTTGGTGAGTAAGGAGAGTTGTGCTGATAAACTTAATCTGCTATGGAGAGAAACTTTGTATTCTTTGCTTTCTAAGTTGTCACTGACTACTTCATGACCGTGTTCCTGATTCACTATTTTAGTGTAGGGGTCCTAAGCATGTCATGGGTGTTGCGGTTGTGGCATGTGTACTGGGTCCTTTGGTCATTTTTGGCAAGTCTCCAGCCAATTGAACTTGAGTTAATTGTGCCAATTTTATGCATTTTATTTTTATTTGCACATCTTACACTTTCATAATTCAACTGTTATGCAACTTCACCTATTTGCCTGCAATGTTATCTGCTATATATATGATATAACAAATTATTGGCTTTCCGCCATTTTTTGTGATATGCTATTTGATAACACATGGTTTTGCAGTGGGAGTGGTTTTGAACTGGCATTATTTTGTACTTGCTGAGAGATGTTGTAAATTTAAGAAAATAAATATCTTGGCCTAAATGTAAAGTTATGAAAAGAACAGTTTAGTTTTGATTAGGTTGCATATTAGGAATTCCCCTTAAAATATATTCCTAAATTAGTTTCTCCTTAATGTGATTTCTATGGGACCAATTTTTAATGATTAAACATACCAATCAGGTTATAACTTTACTCTCATTTCAGATCCTAGCCAAGACAAAGAGCCTCTAAGTTGGAGTGCTCGAATGAAGATTGCTGTTGGAGCTGCTCGTGGCCTTGAGTATCTCCATTGTAAAGCGGATCCACCTGTAATCTACAGAGACTTGAAATCTGCGAACATCTTATTAGATAATGAATTCAACCCAAAACTATCAGATTTTGGGCTTGCTAAACTCGGACCTGTTGGAGACAATACCCATGTTTCAACCAGAGTGATGGGAACATATGGCTACTGTGCGCCAGAGTATGCCATGAGCGGCAAACTAACTCTTAAATCCGATATCTATAGCTTTGGTGTGGTTTTGTTGGAGTTGATCACTGGACGTAGGGCAATAGATGCTTGTAGAAAACCAGGAGAGCAAAACTTGGTTTCATGGGTAAATGTTTAGTTTGTATAGTTTCTTTAAAAATATATCCCCCCTTAGTTAAGTATGTTTGTGTTAGCTTTGCAATGCATGCGAGTGATTCATTTTAGATTTCATCTTTTCACTAGCATATTCAGATTCCTCGTATATCATTTTATATGGTAAACTGGAAAACTAGAAAGTAGAGCATGCCTCATTGCGAAAGCTCTAATGTATGCTAATATGATGTTTCCTGCCATCTCCAAAAATTATAACAAATCCCTGGGATTCTTTGACATTTCAAATGTGTCTTCAACTTTATAGACGTCTTTATCTAAACGAATCTTGTAAGATTACTTATACTTTGTTTTTTATTTTGTCCAGTCTCGTCCATATTTCAGTGACCGGAGAAAGTTTGTACACATGGTTGACCCTCTTTTACAAGGAAACTTCCCCTTGCGCTGTTTGCATCAGGCAATTGCTATAACTGCTATGTGTCTTCAGGAGCAACCGAAATTCCGTCCACTTATTGGTGATATTGTTGTTGCACTGGAATACCTAGCTTCTCAGAGTATTCCTGAAGTCCATAGACATGGTGGGCGCAGCCCACCACAGCAACCATCTTCAGAAATGGACAGAAATTAATATTCACAGGTATCTGATTCTAGTTCGAGTTTCATTTCTGTATGATTTTGGGTACAGATTTCTTACTGGTTTGGTCAGTGTAAGCTACCAACTTGGCTATTTAAGCCTTTAAGGTTTCATGTGTTATTACTTTAATTAACTTATTGTCGTAGCAGGAGTAAAGATAAACTTTCGTATATAGCAGTAGTAAACATATGGATTGATTAATTGCAATGGACATGAATGTATGCTTGTTTAGGCTTTTAAACTTCTACGAGGCACCTATGACATGCTTCTTGTCATATCAACCAAATTTGGAAGGCGGGGGAGGGGGAAGAGAGTTTTTGCTTGTTGATTTGGTATTTGGTTTTCCTGACATTGATTTTGTACACCCCAGGTTGGAGCTGGAGTGTTATTGAGTGACAGTAGTGCTGATGTAAAATGAAGGGTAGTTATTTATTTATTTATATTTTAATTGAGAGCGGGTATAAATGCTTTGAAATTGTGAGTATACAGTACTTCTTTACGCGGGCCTTGTTTTCAGAAAGGATAGTTTAGCGGGTGTACTTGTACCTATTCTTCTGGAAGTGCTGTATTGGGCTTTAGAGCACTTTTGGACTAGGATATTGAACCTGCATTCAGTGACACAGAACAGCGAGTTTCTATGTCATGTTAAACCAAGATGACAGAGTTGTGTATTTCCAAAAGTGTAATTAAAGTACTACTGTTTACACAACTCACTTTTAAAAATTAAAACACAATTTTGTACATGTTTATAGAGAGGTTTTTGCAATATATGCTAAAACCAACAGCTTTCATAAAGTTGGATTTTCTTGTGTTGTGCAGCAATTGTTACTCTTAAATGTACGACAACATAGTAAGTGTTGTATTATTCCTCATTTTCCATGTCTTTTCTATTGTCTTTCTTTCTCTGTTTTTTACCCCAACCACGGAAGGATGGGAATTATATGAAGATGGCAAAACGGACTACCTGGTTTCATGCGAGATGTAGACTTTAGAGGGTCGGGTTAAAAAGCCCAAATTCAATACCGGCTTCTAAAATGTAGCCCAAAGTCAAAAGAAAGCCCTTCTACGGGCTTTTAGAAACAATGAGCTATTCACTTTAGACGAGACAATTTATTTATTTTTAAATATCCTTTACACATCCATTTTTTTTTTTATCATTTTAATAATTAATTCAATCTTATAAGTTATTTTTCTAAAAGAATTGAGAAATTACTAATTTATGTGACGAATATTTATTTTAGTTTAAGGTAAATATCCTTGACTCAATACTTTTTTATTTTTTTTTGTCAAACCTCTATACCAATTAACAATTGGCTACTTTACTGCGATTTGTTTGTTGTTCATTGCGAAGTTTCCAGAATCATCATATTTTCTTAAGACAAATATTGAGTGTTGACTATTCTTTAAAGTTTTCTCAGTATAAAATTTTAATAAACTTGCTCCCAAATCTACCATGCTTTTGACAAATAGATTAACAATTTCATTTAACTCGTCAATGTGTGTAAATAAAACGCAAACATAAAGACAAATGAAATAAAAGAGTGAAAGTAAGGCATTTTTATCCAAAATGGGATGTGACTACACTCACTGTAGAAAGCGACCTACCTACTAACTTAGAAGAAAAGTTGTTTGTTTTGTATTATCCCCAAATTCAGCAACAAATAACGAGCGAAGTAACTTGAATTGAAGCGTTCCCACTGACACAACGACAACGTGTGTTTGCACAGCAAGTTCCGTGTCGTAATGACTTTTGCAGTTTGTTCCCCAAGTATTTCATTTTGTTTTTCTGTCCCCATTTCCCACGCCTGATCTTTATATGTCAACTTAGCAAATCAGCATTGCGTAGGATACATCCTCTAACTCGAGACAAATGACGCATAAAAGTCAAGGTACCACGACATTGATAATCATCGTAATTAAAAATCAATTACAATTAATCATGCCTTTCTTTGGAAATCATGATTGTGCTTGATCTAATTCTAATTGATTTATATTCCATTTTTCTATAATTGAAGACGTAGAAAATGAGATTGATTAATTTGAAATTGTTTGTGGTTAGATTAGTTAATTGATAGCTTAGGTTAACTGAATTTTTTGAAATTATAACTATTTTTGGATTGTGACTATGGTTCCATTTTTTTTAATGAATCAAAGGTTGTGATTGATAATCTCAACTAGGTTGAAAGATAGAGACTTGGGAAGGTGAATATGGATTTCTCTTTCCAATACATATTATATTTTTAATATAAACTCAATACTTGTATTAATAGTTTAATTTGAGGGAAATGAAATTTTATCTATACTTATATATAAAAATGATGTCTTATTTTTATGTACATAATTCTTATATTGTTTTATACTTATAAGTTATGATTATCTCTAAGCTCAAATCCACTAATGTACATTTTCTACTCCAAACTTCTTTCACTTCTATTTTTCTTTTATTAAGCCTCTTTCACTTCTTAAATGACTACTTATTGTATTATTTTTTTATTATCTATTATTATTGTTTTAAATATTTTATGCTATTCCTAATAAAGACAATTTCACATTAAATAATTTTAATTTGTTATTAAGTATTTTTTTTATTATAATGTTATCATTAATAAAGCCTTTAATTGGTTCGACTTGTCCCATGTAAGGTAATGTAAGCAGTGTTTTAAAACCCGGACCGACCCGGCCGGTCGGACCGGTTGGACCGGGAACCGGTGGTCTAGCCGGTTCGAATCTGAAGTTGGATCGGTTATGCAGTCGACCCGTTTTAAACCGGATTGAACCGGTCAATTTTCCGGTTCAACCGGTGAACCGGTGGGTCAAGCCGGTTCAACCACTTTTTTTTTTAAATTTTTTTTTAAATTTTTTTAAGGACCATAAATCACAAAAATAATAATGAAAAATGAATCTCTTAATGAAAAAGCAAGGAATCTTATTAAATATAACAATGACTACTTGTTCTAATATATTTGTTTGCAATATATACAACTTAAATAACTTTTATAGTATATTATTAATTTTAAATTATATATTTAATAATGCAATATCTATGTAAATATTACATATATTATTTTGTGATATTAATTGCAAGCATATTATATATGTACATATTATTTATATTTTTAATTTGTATTAATATACCGTTTAACATGTAATTTTTTTATGTATTTTTTTACAAAATAAAAATAAAAATAATTTTAAATAAGATAGAAAAATTGAAATTTAAAATAAGATATGAATTTATTAAAATTTATAAGTATAAAATATATTTAATATAAATATTTTTTAATAAAAATCGAGTCATGCGGTTCAATTAGTGACCCACCGGTTCAACCTTTGACCCATTGACCCAGTACCTTAACCGGTTCGATGACCGATCCGGTTTTTAAAACTATGAATGTAAGTGAGTTAGTCTAATCTGATATAAATTCTTACGAGTCATTTATTATATTATTCAACCTAATTCATTAACTTGTTGAACTAGGTCAAATTGACTTATTTTATTTTTATTTTAAATTTTATAAATAAAATAACATAAAAATATAAACCTAAATAGGTATGATAGATTTTGAACTTGAAGATTATTAGATGGTCTTAGTTGATTGATTGACCAAAATGAAATAAATTAATCCAAATTCTTTTTAAGAGTCCAACTCAACTCAATGTTTTGGATCAAATCATTTTTGATACTCTATTCTTAAATTTGTCATATTTTACAAAGCTTAATAACTTCGTCTCAATTATATATTTATTATTGGCTTATATCCATTTATTAGTCAGAATTAAATATTTAACATTTCATACTTTTTCTTGAAAAAGTCCCTGATCCTAAGTAGCGTACCTCCTCGAATATACTCATTGGAACGACCGGAACAATCGGAGGACCCCATTCAACATTCATATATGTTATGATATAGATTTGTTTTCCTTTTTCCCACCAATGCATGCATTTACACTGAACTTGATAACATAGAAGTCTCTGAGTTTTTTTTCTTTTCGTCAATTAGTCTTCGAGTTATTATACAACAACTTTGTTTATTAAAAAGAGAACGTGAGGAATACTCCCTAAAACATTAGTTAAAAAATAGAAAAAATAAAAATCATGTAAAAGTTTTTTTTTTGGGTCAGATTTGTATTTATCAATTCTTTAATAAATACGTTTAAAATATTCTTCAAACGTTTTTATCAAGAATTCAATATCAGAATTAATGGACTTAAAGGGCACCGACACCTTTTTCCCCTTAGTCTCCGACCCTCCAAAATAAATTCACGAGTTTGTGTTTGTTGAGTCACTGGGTGGCATGCATGACCAATGTTTATTTCATTGCATGGCATGGCTAATTTACCTTGACTTCACACTTTCGAACCATTTTCAACAATGGAAAACTGACATCTGTGGATTCATCAGCTCAACCCTGTTGATCGTGATGAGACGTAATGGTGTTGAAATCACAGGATTTTCAGATTAAATTTTTTCTCTTAGATATTGCAGTTATTTAGTACAATAAATCTTATAAAAATAAATCTAAAATTACTACTCCCTTCATTTCTACTGTGATTATGTTTTACTATTTTTTTTTGTTTCATTTTAATTAACATTTTATAAAATTAAGGGATATTATTTTTTTAATTTCATCATGTATTTAACTATTTTTTGAACAATGTGAGAGAAATTAATAGATATGAATTATAAAGAATATAATAAAACTAATAAATATTTTTTATAAAAAAATAAAGTATTAATTATATTTCTTAGTTCTTGTTCTTGAATATATCTTAAAACAACGAGATCATGGTATGAGTGAATAATTGTAAAGCAAAAGAAAGTTAAAACTGAAAACAAACGAATAATAACAATTAACAAAGTGAGAATGGTCCAGATTCGCAATCATATAGCATAGCCATTACATTTTGTTATTTAGTTTTATAACTACATCTATCATATTTTGGTTTTATACAAACAAATATTTGATATTATTTATATACCAAAAAGAATATTTAATGTTATTTGGCTTGGTTGACGGTAAGGGCTCTTATGCGATGTAACACGTTAAATATATATAACTTTATTTGCTAAGAGGACAAACTACCCCAAAAGCCAAAAAAAATTAATAAACGTTCAGACCTGTTTTCGTCATAGCAAAATAATACAATTGAAAAACACACTATTCTCTAATCATGAATTATAATACAATTGAAATTTATTACTTTCTTTAATAATCACTTTAAATTTTTTATAGCAATAATATATAAAATTAAACTCATAATTATATTTAAATTAAAACTTATGTGTATATAGCAAGGTCAATGATCTAATCCCTCTTGCTGTTGTGAGGTTCAACGAACTATTATTACATGGCCATCAGGCTATATAATATAGCATATGATATTTACTAATACAAGTTTAAAATTAAAATAACGCCGAGTCTGTAACACTACTTAATTAGCTTCCATATGACAGGTTAAAAATCAAGAGTGATTTTTACCTTCGCCAATTGGACCAATATACTGTATATGTATGTGTATGTGTGTTTGCCATGCGTTTGATTCGTTATCAGATTACAAAAGTTTGTTGATTTGGTCCGTCTCCGAGAATGAGGCTACATAGTAATCAAAAAGTACGATCTGTTTGTTGAATTTGTCTATATACGACGGAATTATTTTCTCTTGGCCGGACTATTCATTCGACAGTACAAACACCAAGGTGTGAACGTTCAGTGTTATTAACGCTAACGTTGACCTTGCTCACTTGCATTGCAAAATCTTCTCAGAGGAGGGGCCAGGTCTGAGTTTTTCATGATGCTCTTTACCGTGAGATTTAATTTGGAAAATGCATGGGGACACAAAAGTTTCATTTCAGATATCTTAATTGCAGCCAAATTTCAAAAGGGACACGTGTGAAACCCAAGAATGAACACTGGTATACAAAAAAGTGTGGGACATGGAATATATATAAATTAAGATTAAACTAGTATTAACTACAAGCAAGAAGTCAAGACTCGAAAAACAACAATACATGCAAGGAAAAAGTCAACAAGTGCTATTCATCCATTTAATCGATTACTTCTCCCAGCCTAAGCTCTTTCTTTTCAACTTCTCCTCTCTTTCGTGGAACTTCTCACCCTTATTATATCATAACACAAACAACCTTGTCCACTTCCTCAATTTTCATTTATATAGACTGCTTCCGTTTCTGCTATATAGTTTGAGTTTCATATCATATCCCTTTATCACGCTCATGGGGATCTGTTTCGCAAAGCCAGATGATGGTAAAAAGAAGATCGCGTCTAGGACCACCACTCCCCCAGGTACATATATATCATAGTTATGTGTGTGCATCTCTTACATGAAATAATCCCGTTAATTTTCCTAGTCATGTAGCTATATATATAGTTTCAATTAACCCCTTTATGTTTTTTAGTATCATATAACAAATATTAGTAAGAAATAATGTTCAATCCACATACATAGGGGAATATGAAATCATTAATTTATAGATTAAAATGTGGAGAGATTGGTGAAGAATTTTAACGAATTATCTTGTAGTGAAAACGGCAGAAGAAAGTGGTGAGCGCGCACACAACGGTGTGAGGACGGTGAGTTCATTAGAGGCACCGAGTGGAGAGGTTGTGACGCGGAAACTTATAGAGTATACATTGGATGAGTTGAAAAGTGCGACAAGAAACTTCAGACCAGACACGGTCCTAGGTGAAGGTGGCTTTGGACGTGTTTTCAGAGGTTGGATTGACAAGAACACGTTTAAGCCCTCGAGAGTTGGCGTTGGAATCCCCGTTGCAGTCAAAAAGTCCAACCCCGACAGCCTCCAAGGTCTACAAGAATGGCAGGTTTGTTCCCTTTTATTCCTCTCACAGTAATTACATTACATCAATGTACGTACTTGTGTTTTTCAGTGCGTCTTCACCCATCTAACACAGTTGATACATAATTCAGTTCTTTAAATATACTAATATTTGTGTATTTAGAAAAAAATTGTTGAAAAAAATAAAATTCATCATTTTAATAATTGTTTATCTCTCAAAGTCTTTTGTCGGATTTACTTTTTTTTTATTTTTTTATAACAAATATAGTCTTTGCTATTCATGATTGCAGCTTACACTGACCTCATCTTAATGCCCTTTTAACTAACTTCAGATTACCATTACATAATTACATGTATCGACAAAGATCAGAAGATTCTGAGTATATTATATAAAATATATTACCCGTCTCGGACGGCGATTAATTAATTTTAGTGACTTCAATTGTGTTTCCACTTGATTCCAAATGTTCGTATTGGACAAAAACTGCCAATTACCATAAAATATCTGCCTCGATCATTAGTGGTGTGGAATGTGGATATAGATGATTGATAAACAATGATTTTGGGAGTTATATTGGGGCCAGCAAAATCCCTATAGGCAAAGTTAAATCAAAGCAAAAGTACAAAGTGCCTTAAAATAATAATAAAGCTTTATTTACGTTAATGATTATCGTGAAGTTATTTGAATATTATTGAAGCTAAATCTTTTTATTGATTGGATAAGAAATAGTCTTCCTTTGCTATAATAGCTCCATATGTAATTACTTGGACTTATGAATGCAGATTTGTTTTATGTACAGAAGTAATGAATTAATGTAAGTGTCGGCGTCAAGAATCACGAGTCATATATAATATTAAGGGGTCAAGCTTGAACTTCGTTGCTTGTGTTGTACTATTTTACTCACATGCTTATTGTACTAATTAATCAATTAAGCAAGCGAAGTTGAAAGTTTTCAGGAAATTATAATAGTATGTTACCATTGCATTTTTATCGTAATTTTTAATACATTTCACATATGATTTGAAGAAAAAATATTAATTCTTTAATTATTAGTATCTTAAAAATACTTTATGTTAGTCAATTTGTATGAATATTTGTATTATATTTGGATACAGAGTGAAGTGCAGTTTTTGGGGAAGTTCTCTCATCCAAACCTGGTTAAACTAATTGGATACTGCTGGGAGGAAAATCAATTCCTGCTGGTATACGAATACAGGCAAAAGGGAAGCCTTGAGAGCCACCTCTTCAGAAGTACGTAAGAAGTTAATTCACAACATAGAAACCGCTTTATATAGTTTCTTTGGACATAAATTATAAGTGTGTTTTTTAAAATTTCTCTACTAGAACTAAAGAATATTTTTTTAATAGAATTCTCAAAAACACTTATAAATTTACATTAAAAATATTTATAATCGAGAATGTTGGTCTAAAGTATTGATGGTGTTGGATAGCAGGAGGCCCAGATGCACTTTCGTGGGATATAAGGATGAAGATAGCCATAGGAGCTGCCAAAGGTCTAGCTTTCTTGCATACAGCAAAGAAGTCTGTCATCTATAGAGACTTCAAGTCTTCCAACATTTTACTTGATGGGGTATGTGCATGTCTCTAGCTATTACTGACCAAATTTTAATTAATAACAAAGAATTAATGTAATAAAAAGAGTAGCACTTTTTATTTAAACGTGTATTTGGTGGCAGAAAAAGTGCTATGATATTCATCATTAACCGGGTCGCAATGTTGTGATGGTACTATATACATGTATATATTTATTAGGATTTTAATGCGAAGCTATCAGACTTTGGGTTGGCGAAGTTTGGCCCTGTCAACGGTAGATCCCATGTAACCACGCGGATAATGGGCACCTATGGTTACGCCGCTCCTGAATACATGGCTACAGGTACTTTCTTGAATGAATCAAAGTTTAGGATCAAGTGAAACAATCTTTAGGAAAAAGTCTACATAAATCTAATATCAATATCTGACACAGATCTACATAAAAGTTTAGAATACACTTTTTGAATGTTCTTATTTTAGATAAACAGTAAGCTAAATTCTCTCTGGTATTTTCTGGACCAGAAAAATATTAAAATCTATTAAAACAGTTCTATATATTTATCTTGAAATATATAATGAGAAAAACATAATTCAAAATTGACAGGCCATCTCTATGTTAAAAGCGACGTGTATGGATTCGGCGTTGTTTTGCTGGAAATGCTAACGGGCTCTGCGGCGTTGGACACAAATCGGCCCACGGGTATGCACAATTTGGTGGAGTACGCAATGCCATCTCTATATGACAAAAAGAAGCTAAAACAGATAATGGATCCAAAGATGGATCAACAGTATGAATTAAGGGCCGCATTTCATGTGGCCCAGCTTATTTTGAAATGTTTGGAATCTGACCCAAAAAAACGACCCTCTATGGAGGAGGTTTTGGGAACCTTGGAAAAAGCCCAAAGCATAAAATGCAAGCCCAAAGGGAAGAAGAAGAAATGCAATGCGGTGCGTCAACGTCAAATGTCACCACCGGTTCATTACAACAAGACGCCAAGTCATTCTCCTCGACAGTGCTAGTATATTTATTATATACCGTTTATTTTTTAAGCAGTTATGTTGTTAATGAATTTGGTAAATATCATTTCGATTATGCTTTTTGTGCACATATGTATTTTTTTAAAATTTTATATTAGCTGTAAACTCTCATGATGAATCGTCAAATTTATACCGTATTTGGACATATTTTGTGCAAATTGGAAAATTTATATTTCATTCACTTTGATAGATGAAGTCCCAAAACAATTAGGCAAGGCGTGGATAAATTTGTCACTTGATGAACATTGCTGTCTTCTTTTGTTGTTGAACGTCGACGTTTGTTCAGAAATAGGAAAAAAATAGTATTGTTAACCGTGCAATTATATAATTTTTTTAATATTCATACACAACTAGTATGTAAATAATTATTGTTGATGCGAGTTAAAAGGGTAAAACGTTTTATTCATTACTAAAAATTGAGTTAAATTTAATTTTAGCCTATATATTTTTTCTTTAAAAATTGTGATTTTGATCCTTCACCGTCCGAAATACAACGAAATTAGTTCTTAATACCATGTGACAGCCTTTAACCATGTCAACAAAACTATAACGAAGTTAGGGTGAAAGACCAATTCTACCTATTTTCCATAATTCAGTAACTTAAACCATTGGAAGGACAATTAGACAATAATCAAATTTCAGTTATTTTTTTAGACAAAATAAAACATTTAACCCTAAATTTTAATACAAATTTTATCTATATTAATACTAGAGGGTATAAATGAAATTATTTGTTTTTGTCTTATTGTTCAAAATAAGTAATGAAATTTTGTTTAACTTTTGCTGGATTGTTCAAACTTAAAACTCACTCTATAGTGTGTTTCGGTGAAATCTGAAATGTGGGCGACACTATCTTTCTCATACTATAATTTGTCATTTTTAAGTCTATTCTATTATGACTATTCTTTCCCTTTCTCAGAATGTTTTTGCTGAATTTTTATTCTGAAAATGTGATTTTATTGCGATTATTTGTTTTTCTGCACTTTATTTTTTCTAATCACATCTTTTTTTTTTTATTTATATAATTATATTCTAACGTTGCTTTTGTATATGATTAAATTTATTGTCTCAAAAATTTAATTTCGGAACAATGAAAATATTTGAGTTCCAAATTTTGGGCTTCTTCATGGTTGTTTGGGGTTTTGTTGTACCATGAACCCAAAAGAGCCATAATTTGACTAACCTTTGAATTTTGATGTCTGTGTAACTGTCTAATTTTGAAGATTCATAGCTTCATGGCTTGGGCGCTCCAAGAAAAGATGGATGGACATTTCTCTTATTTTTCTTTTGATAAAAGGGGAATTTAATTAAATGAAAAATTAGACAATGCCAAAAAAAAAATCTCAATTTTATATTATTTTTCTAAAAGACATTTTGTTTCCCGTCAACAATTAAATTATGATGTGATATTAATATTGACATGAAATGATGACGTATCACTTTAATAATGACATAACTACTCACATAAACTAATAAAAATGACATTAATAATATTGACATGATAAAAAAAAAATATTATAAAAAAATATAGGATTTATTTTTAAAATAATAAATATTAATATTATGAATATTACAATTTAGGAACTTCATCATAAAACTCATTAACTCACAATATAAATCATTAAGAAACTTAATCGCTGATAATTTTTTTCTCTAATTAATTATTTTTAAACTCTTTATCTAATATTAATTAGTTTAAAATTAATAAATATTAATTTTACTTTATAAAAATAATATTTATTTTAGTAAATCAATTATATAGTTTATTACTTAATATATTTGTTATACAATAAATATAAATATATAGTAAACACATTAAATAATGAAATTTATATTTATTAGATAAAAAAATAGTAGAA